AAGTGACGGAAAGCGTCGGTGGAAAACTCGAGGCGGGGGCGACTAGATTCACTGAATAACACTGCGTGGTTTGAACGAAATAATGACGCAACTGGTGAATGGTAATGGGTCTGAGTGACGTCACGTCAGGGACTCTGAGTACGAAAGACAACCCTTCCCAAGACGGGTTCTAGGGATGGTACGCTATTGGCGTACAGGTATATCGGAGTGGCGGTACAGCCGCGAGGAGTTCGCGGACGGTCTGACTGGAAAGTCGCCGGCTGATCGATAAACTTGCGCTTGCTCCCTCCGGCGCGCCGTCGACACACACAAACAAAAGGCTCATGTGTCCCCAAACTAGTTTTAAGGAGGCATGCTGCATGCACGCGAACACGATCGCGATCAGTCGCGATGTAACCGCAGCGTGAAACGGCCTCGCACCAGGCCACTGGGTGACCACCATCAGATGCTGGACGTAGGCTGATCTCGCGCCGAGAAAACGATCACCGGGCCACGGAGCCGGCGATCAGCGACCTGGCTAGACGCGGGGAATTCGACGAGAGACCTCGTGGGAACGTCGGCGGTCCATCTAGGACCACGCCTGAGGATCCAGGTACGAGCGAAGGGAGCAGCCATTCGGAGAAGCCGGAATTTAGTCTGGTCCAACCGGACGCTTTGATGAGGAAATACGGGTTATTTTAAAAAGACGAGACTCACGAATCACATTTCATTCCGGGAAAAAGTTTCCAAAGACTGATGTTCAATTAGCTTAGAGTAATTCTCGTGCGTTGTTAAAAGTTTTAAGTCATAAATATATTGTATAACAGCTGACACAAAAGGTACAAATGAAATCTTATACGAGGTTCGAGAGGATCAAAGTGGAGCAAAAATAATTAAATAATTATTTTTATAACAATCTATTTTCTAAGCAATGATCTATTTTGAGAAAATTACTTTTTAAAATAAATATGATAATTGATATTCGCTCCAAAATTTCCTTAATCAAGATTCACGAGCGTAATGTAAAATTAAATTAATTTTTATTTTGCTTAAAGTTAACGTATACTTGAACGATTTTTTTCATTTTGAAAGTCAAAATCTGAGATATTAGAATAAACCAAGCTGTTACAAATTACTCGAGAAATAAGATTAAATAACTTATAACTAGATTATGTAAATAACTTAAAATTATGGGAGGTGTGAAAAACATGTTAACATGTGTTTCATAATTTTGTACAACGTAATTGAAAAAATATTCGGATTCACTGGACCTGCGTGTATTATACTAATTAAAGTTAAAAGTAAAAAAGAACAATTTTAACTAATTTTTGTCAGATATTATAGAAAAATCAATTGAATCACTATCAGACCAAAGTCTTCGACTTCTCACGGATATTGTGACCTGCTCTCTTCAAGGCATCACCTCGTGAGCGCACGATTACAAATCCATTTCGACAATGCGGAACATATGTCCGATATCGTTATCTCGGACATACAGACAGTTGCTGATAAGTTTCATCATTGCGTTTCCGAAGATTCCTTCTAGAATCGGAATCACGGGAAAAAAAGAGAGCCGATCGGTGGCGTGAGACCAGAGGGACGAAGGTCAGACTTGCGTCTTCGCGAACGCAGTTTTCCCGCCACGTGTCGACCGCTATCCTGTTCATCGATGATTCAGAGAATCGCGCGATGAACGGAGGATGCGAAATGCAGATAGTATCTCTAAGTGAGCTCCGTCAAAGCTCTCCGATGAAGAATGGCTTGATTGCGCGTAGGTTAAGGTCGTGGGAACTCGTGCAATTCGCGCGATGCAACGTGCGTTTCCAAACCCGCTGGTCGGTCGATGTGTAACGTAAGGTGCAGCTGATCAGACAATGAATATCAAATGCGATCGCGTAATCGATCGTCGTGCGGGTGACTCGACATTGATCTATATCGATCAGAGAGTGACCTAGTTGTGTCTCGATTGTCTCGATTATAAAACCCGCTTTTATGCTCTTCGTTTGAGAGAAATTCAAATATGCCACCTGTGCATAAAAATAAACCAATCAAGCGGAATCGATATATAGAAGGAACGATTTTGCTGAAGTATCCAAAAATTTAACTAAATACAGATCTAAAAATGATTTTATTGAATCATCAAAATAATTATATAGGAACTTGAGTTCCTTATAATCAAGCTTATATGTGCAAAAATTATGTTTTTTTATATGATAAAAAAATTATGTATTACATGCGTATAATTTATATATATATATATATATATATATAGCACAATATTCTAACAATATACTTATACAAAAAAAATTAAAATCTCATAATCAAATATGAATCACTGCTAAATATGAGTCACAATCTGATTGAACATTACAGACAGATTTTCATGATAAATTTGATAAGTGGATTTGATATAAATTCTATCTTCCATCTATACTGATTAAACATAAAATATATTCAATATTATAGTGCTCTTGCGCTAATCATTTATCCATTTCAGCTAATTTTTTATATCTGGATAATTTTTCACTGTAATTGCCAGAGCATTTTTTAAAGTGTATGTTAATGTTGCATCAACATATCATAAATGTTAAATTGCAACATTATGTTGATAAAACATATAATGTTGCATCAAAATCGCGAAATGTAAATTCAACGTTAAAAAACATTTACATTTCCATATTTAATATCCCAACATCTTAACAACGTTCTTTTAACGTTCTGTGCTGTATGGGAGGTATAATAAATAGTAATGCAAAAAGTTATGATATTCTAACAACTAGCTTGAGTATCATACAAATTATTTTGATAGGTCAATAAAAATATTTTTAGATTTGTACACGAAAGGTTTCGCTGACGTATCCAAAGATAACTATAGATATACATCTAAAAATAAATTTTATTAAACCATTAAAATATTTATATAGGACGTTACTTGCTAATGTCAAAACTTTTTGTAGCATTCTCATTATGCTTAAGTGTCCTATATATAATAATTTTGATTTTTTGATAATACAAGAAAATTATTTTCAGCTGTAGCTAAGTTTTTAGATACTTCAAAATTTCAGAAAACTTCCGTTATTTCTTGTTAGAAATTAATAGTGAAAAGTTATATACTTCTAATCTTAAAAAAACAAATTAATTAATTGTGAAAAATTATAGAAGAACGAGTAAACAATAATTATATAGTATCAAACGAAGAGATGAGGGATGTTTTAAAATAATGTTAAAAGCTATTTTAAATTAATGTCCCCCATTCTAGCAAATTGCATATTCAATTTCGATAGAAATTAAATTTCCATCTGCTTGTTTATACAGTCATGATACTTTGACGTATAGAATTTTTTCTTTTCTTCAAGTCGCAAAGTGACATTGACTGTTTAAAAGTATCAACGTTACAGTTAAGATTACAAAGGCAATGTTGCTCAATCGAACGGTCGCGCATGCGATTTGGCCTTAATCAAGTCGCACTCTCGGTTTCAATTTCCACACGTAAGGTCACCGCACGACTGAACGTTGTTATCATCGTTGATGTACTCTTCTGTAGCGATATCGAAGTGCACTCGTAGATTTTAAATACACATACAAATATATTAAATATCTGGCGATCTCGCGTAAAATTAAATTTGTTTCAATCGACAATTGGATTCTTATTGAGATAACAAGAGAATTATATAAAGGACGAGAATAACTTATTAACGTTATCATTCATGCAAATTAATTTAATTGCATAATAAAACATACACGATACGTGGAAAAAAACAATACCGCAAAACAGATTATCACAATTCTTTCTGAAGCGGAACTCAAGTAAGAGGAAATTGAGCGTTACATGTTAATTAATGGCACACATGATGTGTATGATATGTGTCTATTTACATGACACATGCGATAAAAACTCATAAACGCGGCGTAAAGTCACGGAACCATATAGTCTTAATGTCACCTTACATGTGGTGATACGTTTATTCGATGCTGTTTTGGATGTGTAATATAAAGACTCGACAATTAATTTAAGACTAAAATCAATATCGCAGGACTAATCGATTTTCGAGATTAAATTTAATTTATAACGATCACAGGAAACGCTCGCAGGTGTATCTTCAAAGTAACGTAAAGTTTGTATGATAAAAAAATCTATTGAAAATTATCTGCGTGGAAAAAATGATTTTGCCAAAAAGTCGAAAATTTTGCTAGATATACCTAAATATTTTTTTTTTAATTTTACTAATACTGCTTATTTTTTTTTAATTTTTAACAATTATTTTTAATGACCCAACAACATTATCTTTAAATATGTATGTATACAGCAAAATTTTAGCCTTTTCAACAGAATCATTCTTTTCGTGTGGCAAAATATGCAATATTTATACATATACTGACATTGCACGTTATAAAATATATATATATATAACGCTTTGAAGGTTTTTTCAAATTAGAAAATTATGTTTAATGTGCTTATCGAGTAGGCTTTTGAGTTTTCTTTAATAGTAACTTTAACATGGAAAAAATGGTTTTGCTAAAGTATCTAAAAACTTATTGTTAGCTAAAGACAGATCTGAAAATAATTTTACTAGACCATCAAAATAATGATGTAGGTCGCTCAAACTGATTGCTAGAATACCAAAATTACAGTTTATGACAGTGCTCATCATATGATTTCTGCAATTATTTTGATAGTCCAGTAAAATCATTTTCAGATCTAATTTAGTTAATTTTTCAGATACTCTCTCTCTCTCTCTCTCTTCAAATCGTTCATTCCGTAAAAAAATTCTAATTAAGCCGAATACGTAACTAATTTCCAAGTTAAAATAACATGACAATTATTTGACAGTGGTCCTCAGGTACGAAGAGGCTGCTTACCTTTCTTCGATTGGCATGTCGCTGAATGATTCACATTTTGATTTTCGCCGTAATTAAGAGCAGTTCCTGAACGAATCTAATCAGCGAGAAAAAGAGAGAAAGCGGGAGGAAAAAGATAGTCGCTCTCAATTACGTAATTTACGTTATTTGTGTCCTGAAATACAACCGCCAGCGTCGTCGTCGTCGTCGTTGTTGGCGACGCGAATCTTATCATTCTCAAAGGAGAATGGCTGTATATTCGCGGCAGCGAGTATCACACAGCCTTCAGTAGGAAGATGATAGAGGGCCAGGTGCATCAACATCCGGTACGAGTGCCGCCCGACAAGTCGCAGCCGCTCCAAAATGCCAATACCATCAAGTTCGAAAAGTACGTTGGAAAGTATTGTGCAAAAAGTTTTCGGTCTCTCGATCTCGCGAAAAAAGTATGAGGAAAAAAGTATATGTCAGGTTGAAAAATGTGAATTTATATCTCGAGTGCCAAAAAAAACGGCAAACGAGTGCTTTCGGCATGGGACTGCGAATTAAAGACATTCATGTGACAAATTAATAATCATTAAAATTTTTTCACTTGTGATTTACAATTATCGATCGCACGCACGCCACGCGCTCTTCATTCATTCGACACATTCATCGATTCATTTCACAATTTAAACTAAGACTTCGACATTCGAATTTTGAAGCTTTGAATTAGGCATTAAAATCATTGAAATTTTGAAGCTTTAAAAATTGGACACTTCAAAAATTGTATAATTATTAATTTAATATAACTAATGGTAACACAAATATTTTTATTTAAAAATGTACAAATATATTGATGAATATATATTTCTATATTTTTTTCTATTTGCACAAATTTATTTCTTAAAGCTTTGAAATTAATTTTAAATTTTGAAACTTCGAAGACACAAACTTCAAAAGTTTAGAATTAATCAGTTTAACTTTAAAGATTTAAATTATTTCCAAGCCTTGAATCTTTAAAGTTATCAAAAGTAACAAATCTAATTCAAACATCTTATCTGTTTAATTTTATGTCGTAAGAAGTAGTTTTTTTTTTAGGATAATCACACAATTTTAATTCCTAAACTAGCAATTATTTGACGTGATAAGATTTGACGATGATCATAAAAATTCCTAAACATGAGATACAATCTATTTTTTAATTTTCAAGTAAAAAAGATTCAAGTATTATTAAGTCAAATTGAAATGTTTTACAGGCGCAATGTTCGACTTCATTACTAAACCATAGACAATTATTCGACAATTTTATTCTAAAGTATTGATGAACTATAACAGACCGAACTTATCGTTTTCTCATACGGTACAGATCAGTAATATTGCAGTGATCATTTCAAACGTTACGGCAATACTTCTGTGCTGTAAGAGTATCAACGTTAAGAGTTAATGAGACTCTTCTGCTACAGAAATCCAATTTGCACTGTTAGATATCAAAGAAGTAATGGTAATCCGATTCTTTGATTATGTTTTGTTATTTTTAACTTTCACGTATGCCAAAATGTAAATCAATTCTGTAGTTAGCGTTTCTCAAAGTAAATAACATCTATGTTAACGTATGCACTCAGTAAATAATAAACTAAAAAGTAAAATTTAATACATTTTCATTTTTTGAACAATTTCATTTTTTAAATTAACAACATTAAATAGAGATAGTAGCAACTTACGGAAATAATTAAAAATAACTTAAAAGTATAATTTAACATTATGGTTTCAGGTATTAAAATACTAAACAACAATGCTTTTAAAAAACACTCAAAAAATAAATATAATTAATTACTACCTTTCAGTATTATAATAAATTTTCAGCAATAAGCATTCGGCATTTGTGGTGACAAAAAGGGATTTAAGTTAATCTTAAAGTCGTCTATTTTATTCAGTAGGACTTACACACATATGTGTGTCATTGACACTATATATTATTATGGCTGTGTCGAAAAACTGCCAGTACTGAAAATCTATACGTAACGCAAACTATAGATTTGCAGTAATTACTGGCAGTAAATTTGGGAACACAGTCTATGTCAATATCGCATGCACACACGTACAAATTTTCTAACTAATCTTTCACATTAAGTATCTAAACTTATTTCTAAGTACTTAACATTGTTTGTTCATGTAATTTCTAGTCCAAATCAAAATTGTTTTATGCGTACAAAGTGTAAAATTTGTATCTGAAGCAGATATAAATTAAAGCCGATAATAAAACTGTAATTTTTCAACTTTCTTTCGTTTTTAGCATAAAGTCAACGGGTTTGGATTAGATTACCGTTTATATGTTAATTGTGGAAAAGAATTTTTTAATCTAAATATATATAAAGGCAATTAGAAATATACTTATTTGAAAAATAATCAGTAAAACAGACGACTTTAGGACCCCTTTAACCAACGGAGATCTTCCTTCTGTCGGCAGTGAGCAATGTAAGGAGCCTCTGCTTCTGGAGAAGCAGAACTCCCACAGGATGACACCAACTGATGGTCGCTCGCGGACCACATCCGAGTCAAAGGATACCACGACCACCTCCACCACTACCGTCAGCACCGCAACAACCACTAATGGACAAGCGGCAGCTGCGAATACCACCGGTGGACACGCCACCGATGACTGCCTTGAGGTAACCATCTTTGACGAGGGCATCGACGGTGGCCGACTGCCGGACGTCGTTGCCGAAAGCAAGATCTACGGCGTGACTGAAGAGGATGAGCCGCTCGAGTCGTACTTGGCGATTACCATCCAGGTCTTTATACCCTTCCTTATCGCCGGTCTGGGCATGGTGGGCGCCGGATTAGTCCTCGACCTTGTCCAAGTATGAAACTTCTTCACTCTTATCATAATAAATTCTCACGTGGACAATTCTTTTTGAAATAGCTAATAGGATGTGCATTAAGAAAAATATTTTAATTAAACAAACAAAACGCTATTCTTATTGATATATTTTATTGATACATCTAATTAAAACAATTTTCTCAATAGGAACGTTTAGGCAATTAATTCGACAACACGCGATCGTATTCTTAAATAGAATTTAATGCTGATTTCCACCAACGTAGATTAATTTAAATAATTTCAAAATTCAATCTAGATTTAAATTCAATCTTTAATTGATTCGTTAATTTAATCAGATGTTCCACACATTAAAGATAGTCGACTATAAATTAATACGATCTTAATAGCATTGACTTCATTTAAATGTTCATGTTCTTTTGCAGCACTGGGTAGTCTTCGAGAAAGTCAATGAGCTCATGATTCTGGTACCGGCGCTTTTAGGGCTGAAAGGTAATCTAGAAATGACTCTGGCGTCGCGTCTCTCTACTCAAGCGAATCTCGGACATATGGACATGCCAAAGGAGCAATGGCACATGATCATAGGGAATCTCGTTTTAATACAAGTAAGTAACAGTCATTGATTTGATCGGGGGGAGGGGAGAGGAGGAACTGAAGAGTGGCCTAATTCTCGGTAAACACCAACTAAAAGAAACGTAACATTAATGTTATAACTTCATACTCTTTCGTAATAATGATGACTATTATGTAACATATACATTATATTATAATTAATATTAGGTATATATTATTGTTAGTTGATGTTTACTGGTTCTTCCGATGCAAGATGATTGGCTCGCGTCTTTCCTATGATTATCGGCACAAGTGCAATTTGTCATCTATCGCAAGCCTTCATAGCTATACAATTGTACGAAATAATACAATAATTGTCAACAGATGCGTCAGATGCGTTATTCTGGCACGCATAAAATCTCAAAGCAAACCTCGGACGCTTCTCCTGCGTTCAGCCGCGAAAGTTTACTTTCGCGAAACTGGTTTTAACTAGATGTTCCATAATTAAACGATATTTGCCGTTTGTCATACGACTTCTAACTTAATTCCGTTCGAATACATTGCGAAACGCCGTTATTGGCTCGCTTTGGCGCCGTGTATTTTTCCTCCTGGAATCTCTCTTCTGCGGTCGGTCCACCTGTTTCTTTCAACTTCTCTCAAGAGTACGCGTCTGCCATGTCTTACTCAACAACTATGAGACGCAACGCACGGAAAAGTTCTGCGCTATTAATCATCCAGCTTCTTATCTCATCTAGTATCATTATCATCTAGTGTAAATATATCCATGAAATTTGATATTTTTTTTTAATTCAAGTTCAACCCTTTGTATTCAGTTTTAGCTTCGCAAATTTTCAATTGCGATAATGGAAATGAAATTATTGTAATCCGCGAATTCCGATAAATTTTTTTTGCCGACGGAATCATTATCGATCCATCTTGAAAATTGTAAATTGACAAAGAATACTGTAGAGAACGATGCAGGCAATTTAACTCATAGTTAACTGCTAATTATGAAACAAATCGACGGCATGATTTCGGGGGAGCGAACAACGTTTCTCGATTTAGCGAATCGTGTTACGCACGCATTCCCTGTCTTATCGTTGGCGCCACGATTTTATTTTATTATGTGTTCAACACTGATGATGATAGACGACGGCCTTCAGGAAGCCGACTGTTTGCCATACAATCCCTCATACAATAAGCGAACGCAAGCTGGTTACCTCACGAGACACGCCGCGTGATAAACGACACGTATTCTCCAACGTGTCAGTATCTAAACAGAAAGAACGATTTTGCTAATGTATCTAAACATTTAACTAAAGGTCTAAAAATAACTTTGTTGATCAAAATAATGATTTAGGAATGTTTAAGCATAAAGAACACCACTGCAAAGTTTCAACATTAGCAACCAACTTGGAAGTTTTACATAATTATTTTAATGGTCTAACAGAATTATTTTTAAATCTGTATAAGTTAAAGGACTCTTTGCACTAATTATATATGGAAAATTGTGTTCTGGTCAAATGATCATAATTCAACACTGTTTGTTCAGATCCTAATTAAGTTGACATTGAGTAGTTCTTATCAGGCGCCTGTTCATTTCTTGTTTAGGCGCTAACAATAATGATATCAGGTAATTCTTATCAGATGCATCCTGCCATTACATGTTCAGATCCTGATAAGGATGATTTCAGGAAAACCATTTCAGACAGAACTTACTCGTACCCGATTGGGTCCTGATCGTGCATTAAGCATGCCCGATCAAATTTCTACTTAGGGAGTTTTCACATAATAATGTTATAGCTTATAATGTGGTGAACAAAAGATATCATAGACTCGATAAAAAAGTTTTTTAGCTATGGTGTATCAAAGGCACTCTCTATAAACACATTTTTGATAAATTTATAAACTCACAAACTATATATCCACTTATTAATTCTTGTTTTTATAACATCTTTTGTTCATTACATTATATTATAAACTACATTATATGTATGTGCGGAGACTAATTTGTTTCACTAGTAATACACAGAGTAATACACGCGTAATAGGATGTAGTCCTCGCATTAATTAATATTAAAAATATAAGAGATTTGTATTCACATTTGATACACTTTAATTAAATAATACTATCCATTATTGAGCCTCGTGTCTATGACATCTTTTATTAATCACATTATAAACTACACCATATACAATGTAAAAAATAAAATGTTAATTTTAACTCAAAGATGTTGAGTGGATTTTTTGAGATATGCAAAAAAATGTTAAATCCAAAAAAATTATCTTGTTTTTTAAAAATGTTAAAATTAACATTTTTGTTAACATTTTTGCTTGTTTCGGAAAATCTACTCAACGTTTTTGAGTTAAAATTAATATTTTATTTTTTACGATGTACACGGGAAAAAAACAGTTTTATTCAAATATCTGAAAATTTAGATACAAAAATTTTTAAACAATTTTATTAAAATCGCCAAAACTCAAAATATATTAGTATAACTTAGAGATTATAAAATTCTTATAATTATCAATTCCGCGAATCTATAAACCTAAAATATTTTCTTTAACTTGTGGCTCTGATTATTTTTTCTATTTTTTCCGGTATTCGAAATATCTTGTAAAATATCTATCGAAATGAATATTTATTAATACATGGTTATAAACTGAAATTTGCTGAAAATCTCAATTTTTACCGATTTTCAATATAATACATCTCAGTAACTGGAATTTAAAAAAATGAAGAAACAAGCAGAAGGATTTAATTTTTCTTTAGCCATCAAGTTTTTTTGAGAGATCCGTTACTCGGGAACTAAAAGTCATTTTAATTGTGCATAGTGTCAAGCGATAGTGGTGGGATTCTTGGGTTCCGTGGTGGCGATCGTGATGGGTGCCTTCCGGAACGGCACGGTTTCCCTGGACCATGCCTATCTACTGTGCGCCAGCAGTCTGGTCACTGCTTCCCTCGCTTCCTTCGTTCTGGGCCTTATTACGGCGGGTGTCATCGTCTTTTCCCGTCATTGCCATATCAATCCGGATAACGTGGCCACGCCGATAGCCGCCAGTCTCGGTGATATTACGTCGTTGGCTCTTCTTTCATGGATTGCCACCATACTCTATGAATGCATAGACAAGCAGGACTGGGTGGCACCTCTTGTCATAGCCTGTTATGTCCTCGTGACGCCGCTCTGGGTGTGGATTGCCAAGAAAAACAAATATACCAACGATGTGCTTTACTTCGGCTGGACGCCGGTCATGGTAGCCATGTTAATCAGCAGGTAAAGACGATTCATCTAAATTTTTGGATACTTTAGTAAAATCGTTATTTCTTTATATTATTAGATTCTTATATTATTGGTGACATTTATGTATCACATTTCGAAACGGCTTAAAGGAAAGAAGAATCTATAAGTGTAAAATTTTTCGTAGTTGCGGCGGTCTTATATTGGAATTTATGGTGTCGCGCTTCGAGAACCTGACGGTGTTCCAACCGGTTATCAACGGCGTCGGCGGAAACCTGGTGGCCGTCCAGGCCAGCAGGATATCAACGGCGCTTCACAAACAAGCCGAACTCGGCACGCTTCTAATCCCACCAGGCCACACACATCCTGTCATCTTCATTACCCCAATTGCCAATTTTTTCGGGAAAGGTATCCTCTTTCGTTTTTTTATTCTTTAAATAATTTAAGTTTGTCGTGATTCTTCATTGTATCATCTCTTTAGGTATGCACGCTAGAACCACGAGAGTCTTGATGACAATGGTGATACCGGGCCACGTCATTTTCATTTACCTAATCAATTATATGAAGGACGGTAACACATCGATGACGCCGCTCTTCGTCTTTGTTTACCTCTGCGCAGCGATGCTGCAGGTCGCAGCTCTCCTTTACATTGCTTACATAATGATCCATTGGATGTGGAAGCGAAAGATCGATCCCGACAATTCGGCGATTCCATATTTGACCGCGATGGGTGACTTGCTCGGAATCAGCCTGCTGGCTATTGCCTTCCAATTTCTGTACCTGGTCGGAGATCAAGATTTCGACGCACCCTGACAGTAGTAAGATTAATTTTTAACTTTGTTATATAACCACGAGCATAATTAATGACAATCATAACAATTTCAACATATCATTCCCTTAAAATGAATAATCCATGATTTTTAATTATTACCACAATTAACTTCATAGAAAACCGTTAAAAGTACAAAAAGAGAGTAGTTAAAAATAAATTTTTTAAATTGTTACAATTTAAAAGAGTGATTTTTAAGTGTTTTGAAAACAACAAAAATGATTATATTAAGAATATATTCTTTCTGCTAATATTACTTGATAAACAAATTGAAAAATGAAGGACTCTTTATATAAAAATAATAATAATTAAACGAAGATAAAGGACAATTAGAGTCAAATCGTAAATAAAAATAATAAAGCGATTATTTATAATGATTAAAAATTGGTTTATTGCATGCTCGATCGATAGGACGACTTACAAATGCTCAAACGAGGTGTGTTGCATTTTTTTCCAGGAAGTCGCAAATTATAGCGTTCTCCGGCAAGCGGGACGCACAAGTTAGAACTGTCGGACCGAAAGGGCATTCCTACGAGGCTGTGGTCGTCTGAAAGTATATTCCACCAAATCTAATCGTCGGATCTGCCAGTCTGCCGACGAGTCCCACGGACGGACGGTCGCAATGGTATTACTTAGCAAAGTATTAATAATTCATCACTTATATCCTGCGTTCGCCAAGAATTAATTAAAGACTATGGTATCTAGAGACTCTGGTTGTTTGCATTTCGTGAAAACCAGTCGAATTATTTCCATTATCGATGCGCGAACGTTTCGATACTTAATAATTCATAACTTTTTTTACGAACGCAAAATATAAGTGGCCGATCATTAGTACCTTGTCAAGTTGAGCGGGCGCGTACTCAGGTTTTAACTAGCTATACTAATATATCAGAAGATAATACGAGGTCAGTAACATGGCAAATTAATTTGTCGACTATCTAAAAATTATGATTGTATTTTAACGAAACGTTGAATTTTTCTTAACAATTCTAATTCTGGAATTCAAGCCTAAAGTTTAAGAATTAATTTTTTTCCAAAAAAGCCGATACAAGCATTTAATATTAACGGCGATAATTTTGCTAATTTCTCGGCATATATCTAATAAAATATCTCTCGAGCGAGTTTAAGCTTAAGATTCGCTAATCTCGAAACTTATAAGGATTTCAAAATCCTAAAAGTATAACTCTCTTCACTGTATTACGAGTGAAAAATTGAAGGTTGTCGTATTTTTCGGTCAGAAATAATTTACAAAGTTACATATTAAATTACAATCGCGAGTATTGCGATAACAATTTAATGTTAGGACTCCATAAGTCCATAGAGCTTGTTCATCCTCGGGCTCATAGCAAGAATTCTGCCTCTTCCACGGAGCGCGCGCGCGTAAGTAAAAGTACGTGTAGTCGTAATACCAACGCGTATGTGTCTTCGAATAGTTGCCTTCGTATACGACGAAATTTAGATAGGTATTTAGAAGCTGCCGCACGACCTATTTTTGGAAGCTTTGGAGAAGCTCTCGGAGATTTTACTCAAAGCCCTTGAAATACCTGCCGCATAAAGTCCTACTTTAGCTCTTATATACGATGCGGTTTAATGAGAATTTGGTCGTCCTCGCGCAAATAACTAATTCCGAGATTTTTTGATTTTCTTAATTGTTTATATTAATAGTATACGGAACGTCTCTAATTCTAGAAAATAATCTTTTAATAAATTTAATACTAGTACTGGTCAATTAACTACTTATTTTGAATATATTAAAAATATTGTTAATAGTTCTTTAATACTAGTTATAATACTTTTAATACCAAAAGTAAGTGATTAATTGGCCAGTATTAGTATTAAATTTTTATTTAAAAAACTCGCCTGAAAGATAGGATGCACTGCGAGCTTATAGAAGTCGAGTTGATGACGTGAGTCATTACGAGTACGAGAGCCAGCAAGATCTCGTGCACAGAGTGATAAAAATGATCACAGTGTGATAAATCCTACAGTAAACACCGTAAAATAACCTGATAAACTAACAGTAACATAATTTTGATGTTACAATTTATTCATACTCAACATTATAAATGTAATAAAACGTATGTGTTACATAATAATTACATTGTGAAATTGTAACATTCTTATACAGTATAATACTATTCCAGTATCATTAGGTACACTAATACCGGAATGTTACAACAATATTGCTGCAAATCTCTAATGCTATAAGGGATTGATGTTATATGACATATGTTATTGTTAGTTGGTGTTTACTGAAAATATGAAATACATTTGCTAGTGCTATCACTTAACGAATGTATTTTTCAAAAATTTTGAGAAAATATTGAAATATCAATGCGATAATTGTAGCTTAACGTCTAAAGCTGGCATAGAGACGAGTAAGCAGTTATTAAAAAATTATAATTCATAAATTTCACTCGATCGACTGTATCGAAGTGTCACGTTAGACGATTGGAAAGTCCGCACGGCAAGAATGAACCTTGGTGAAACTGTATGCGAATAGCATCGCTTCGAAGAGGAAACATGACGGGCGGTATTGAAAGTAAGTCAACGTCCCGCTGACAATTATCTCGGACGTTGATGTAAACGATTTAACCCTCCCAAGCTGACAACAAAGTCTATAACATAAGGCTGGGTCCACAACCTCGCTGCCCTAAGCCGTAAAGCCGTAAGAAATTGACCAATCATAGTTGAATGCGAGAAAAATAATTCTCTGTGATTTTGGTCAATTTCTTACGACTTACGGCTTTACGGCTTACGGCTTCTTAAAGCGAGGTTGTGGATTCAGTCTTACGGTTACTATAAAAGCTGTCTCTAATGCAAACCTACTTAATTTATGTTAATTTTGTAATAGTAAAGTTTTTTTTACAATAGAACATAATATGTAGAAAGATGGATTCAAATCCAACTCGATGCTGTTTTGTTTATTTTGATCAATGTACAAAATGGGTAAAAAATAATAACATGAAAATTTGTCTTTCTCTGTTTATTTATAGATAAAAGAATTATAGATGAAAAAATATGAAATACATAAGAAGGACATTTAACCAAAGCGGATGCTGGTGCCTGAAATATTTTTGAATAAATTTTACAATTTTCAATTTAAGCAAAGAAATACAATAAAATTTATTGATCTATTTTAAATAATTGTAATAAAAACAAAAAACGCTTTGACTGAAGCCGTGGGATTCCCTACAACACGAAATATCACAGTAATATACAGCATTTTCGTAAAAAATAAAATATTGCTACAATATTCAACAATATTTCATGCTATAGAAGATCATATTTGACTCCAATCTTACTATTACACATGCAGTTATAAAAGACACAAATTTTAATTTTAAGAAAAAATGATATAAAAAAGAATGTATATACTCGTATAAAAAATAATAAATTCAAAATATATTTTTCAAAATAATCCAAATTTACAGATATAACTTGAAGAAATTGAATTGTTTAACATTTTTGACAAAGAAATTTATAACTATAAGTAGGTCCAATAAACTCACCATCAGCTCCGGAGGGTTAATTCGCATTCTGATACAATAGCAACACGTAGTACAATACGTTTTTGTGTTTTAAGCGATACTTTAAACGATATATTAATTTCGCTCGGTGCGTCTGTCGCTGCTCATGCGGACGATACGCGCCGTTGTATAGTATTGTAAATTAGGGTATTTCGTAAAGAAAAGAAAGAAGAAGGGAACGAAAGGACGTCGTTACATTCCGTGTACATATATTATCGTATAACGTACGTATTTTACGTACACTACGTACAATATATTATAGGCGCCGCGTCGGAGACTAATATTTAGTCTTCACGATCGGGGAGAGGGATTCACGTCCAAGTCGACATCGCCTTTCGGCCCACACATGTTCAGTATTATCGCTTTTACGACGTTGCCTGGAATTGCCGAGACATCCTTGGTGAACATTTTTCTTAGAATGCTTTATATACCTTTTTCAGAATTTTTATATAAATTTTAGGATTTTTCAGAATTTCTTTATGGTACTTTACATTATTTCACTATTTATTAACTATTGAATAAATATATATACATAAATAATTATACATTTATATGAATAAATCAAATGAGATAATATTGTCAAGGATAAGGATAGGTCTTGGATCGTGGTGCCTATAATAGCGTTTATATATAAATTTTGAATACGTCTCTCAGGTATGTACAAACGATCGATTAATTGTCAGATTTGAAATCATAAACTGAAACTGAAACAATATTATCACAAATTAAATTGATCGTCAATTTAATGATGATGCTAATAAATCGACCTTAAATCGTAACTACAATTGAGCTCAATTTCTTCGTCCTTTTTACAATTTTATAACTTTTTAATTTATGATACAAATTTTTTCATACAAATTGAAATATTTTTCACAAGTGCTGAGAAAGTCGATATCTTTCCTAGAACGTTTTATGTGTATTCTGAAATATTCTAAAATTTTTCATTCTACATAAATATTCCAACGAAAACTTATAATATTGAAAAAATTTAAGATACATTTTTTCATAAATCTTTATAAATTTAAAATATAACAAAATTCTTTAAAATATTATGAATAATATTAAACGCGATTTATCGTAATGTCAACACACTGTGTGTGGACATTAGTAATAATATATCGTAAAATAGTTAAACATTGTAAGATATTATGTGAGAATTTTTTTCACCAGGGACGGCAGAGGTATTCCGTTTCCGCCGACAGAACGTCCCGCTTCTTCGGCATGCGTGTTTTCTTGCAAACTGCGTTCAAGTCGATCCGATTAAGATAGCACAGTGCACTTATACGAGTAAAAAAAGAAAGAAGTAAAAAATCGCGGCGGGATACGTCGCGGTCACGTGCTTTAACAGTGCATGAATTCATCTGAATTTACCAAATCATTTTCATCTCGCGATTAGTCGCTTTATAAGTTTCGTCAACGTGAATAAAATAAAATAAAATAAAAAAGGATATAGGAAAAACTGCACGAACGTAAATTCTCTCGGAGCAATACGCGTTGCGTTTCGTTATGTAGTCGAGTATCTCAAAAACTTTTTTATTGCTCGTAGCGCTATGTAGTGATTGTTATTTGCTTTATTTTATATAAAAAACAGTGTACACGTATTCTTTTCTTTTTGTATAACATTTGTTAATATTTGACAAGCACAATCGATTGTGAATCAAGGAACGTGCTATAAAAATACGCAGACAATAAATATGCAATCTGAGAGCGGATGTGTAAAGTATTTTGTATGTGTAAAAATAAAGTTGAAGGGAATTTATAAGATCCCCTTGTACAAAACCGACTTTTGCAAATAAAAAATGAGACAAAAAAAACGACGTATATTTTAAATTATTTTACTCTCGCTACTTATAAAAACTTTTGAAAGGGAAAGGATATCGAAGGAGAGGAGAACGAATGCTGCCACTCGATCACCGGATTACAAATTCTCATCTTGACGTGATACAACCTATAAGGACAACGTAGTCTTTCAAACTTTATCCGTAAACAGTGTAAGTTAGAATGCAGACAATAATAGCACAGATGGAA